TGTAACAATATGTTCGAATAAACAGACTTGAGGCATGACCTCACCTTAACTCCAAAAAAAAAAAAAAAAAAAAAGTAGTATTATAACAATAGCAATTTGTTAATTAGTTAAGATAAATATCTGTAATTATAATTATAGTATATTAGCATAACTAATAGGTTATAAGGCATCTGCACAATATTGAAATTATACAAAAAAATGCAAACTAGCATTAGATGATGCAAATCCAAGATAAGTTCTTGTGGTTGTATAAACTTGTAAAACTGTAAAACTGAAACTCAATTAGAAAAACTCAAATAAAAAGATAGTACAGATCTTTAATAATACTACTGTAAAGGCTAAATCTAAAAAATAAATATTAATATAGAAGAAATTAAGCAGACAAGAATCTTGAATAAGAAGTACTACTAACTAAGTTGTCAGAAGTTTTGAACTAAAAAAAAAAATATTGGGAAAGCAGACTCTTGAAATACCAAAAACAGATTATAGTTCTTTTAGACTATCTAGATTAGGAGTCTAAAAACTAAAGCAGAATATAGCTAAGTACTAGAAATATGCTATAAAGTAGGTACTAAAGTCTGAATAAACCTTACAAGATTAAGCTCTGTTAACAAAAATTAAATATAGATAGTTAGTTAACAAGAGGTCCTTTGGAGCTCTACAGTTAGATAACATACTCTAAAATGTGTAATGGCTTAATAAATATATAGACAAAAAGAACAAAGTTAGATTAGATAACACTTTAGTATATAAGAACTTGTATACTATTTGCTAATATAGTATAAGAGTTACTTTGTATAAATTATGTAATCATAATTGAATTTACAATAAAGACAATAGTCACTGATACCTAATAGTCTTGGCAAAAGCAAAAAAACAATAATAATAAATATAATATATAAAATACAATAATAAATATATATATAACTACTAATACTTTTATATAATATGCTATACTAAGAGAATAGTAATCCTAGTGTAGTAGTTGAGTTGTCATCCTTTAAGTGGCAGGTCTAAGGTTCAAATTTTACTTACGATAAAATTTGGAAATTAACCTGTGTTATGGCAAACTGTCTCTTGATGATTGGTTAGATTTGTGTATCTGTAACCTTAAGCCACACCATCTTAAATGAAAGCTCAGAGCATCTATGCCAAGTATAATATTATATGTATATAGAGAAATATTAATAATCAGTGTTGTATAAGACTTTAGTACAAACCTATGATAAGACCATCAGGTGCAGTAAACTAAAAAACTGAAGAGTTGGAAGCCTATTTGGAAATTTTTGAGTAAAGAGATAGCATGAACTTTTGATGATATAGTCAGACCAATAGAAGCTTATGAAATACTCTTAAAAGGATAGGTAGATAAACCAGATATCAAGATGTATAGGAGCATATAACCAATCAGGCTGCCAGAATCACTAAAGAAAAAAGATATATAAGTATACTATACCAGGCTATCTGAATTGAAAGTCAGAGAAGTCCTGTTGGTTCTGAGTAGTGGTTAGTAAAAAATGATGATGAAGACATTGTAATGATAGATACTGAAGTTTTAGTAAACTTTACAAAAATAGAAATAGTATAATGTAGTAGTTAAACAGATAACCTCTGTGATTGCAAATGTTAGGTAACTATAGCATGTTGCATAAAACTAGATCAGCTGTGTATAGAATATGAAAGGTTCTAGTAAATTTCCTATTAAGAATAAACTAGTCCTAAGGGTACTTGAAGGCATTAAGTACTTTGGATAGGTGTAGCCTTGAAGATGTTCTTGTAAGACATAGTGGACTATATATGCAAAGGGTTTAAATAGGCAAGACCTATAGTTGGCTTGCAGGTATGGCACCTAGTGTAGAACCTATATAGTAATACATATATAGGCAGACTACTTAAATTAGGTACCAAAAGTGCACGTGTAGCTAGTTGTAATCTTCAATGTAAGAAAGTCTCTGGAAGTACCTGTGTCTAAATATATGAATAAAAACATTAACTCCCATAAATAGGAACTTTAACTAAAAAAAATATATATATATATACTATACTAAAATATACTTTGTAACAATATATGCTATATCTATTGCATATATTTAATTTATATTACTGATTATTATATGCAATGTATATATACCTATATATTTAATAATTAACTAATTAAAGTTAATGCACACTATGCTATAATTAGTTAATAATAAAGTTTTGTTATATAATCTTAGATAAGCATGCCTATAGATATAATAAGCATGTTTATAAATATAATAAGCATGTCTTGATATAATAACATGGCTAATTTTTTATCTGTGCCTTAAATTTTACTAAGAATATTAATCTTAGTATAGTGAACAGATTATTATTCTTTAAATAGCAAGTCTAGTATTTAAATTTTATTTATGCCAAGAATGTGGCAACTTAGTGAAGTGGATAAGTTGTCAACTCCCCAAGTAGTAGATTGGGAGTTCAAAACCCACCAATAGTGAAAATTTGGAAAACCACCTATGTATATCAGTACTATGGGCATCTGTGCAATGTTTAAGTTACTCAAAGGAATGCAAACCAGCATTGGATAATGCAAACCCAAGATAAGTCCTTGTGTTTGGTACTACAGCAATGGCAATCTGTCAATCAGTTGAGATCAGTACCTGTAACATGGGCATACCAGATAACTGGCAGGTTATGGAGCATCTGTGCAATGTTAAACTTATACAAAAAAATGCAAACTGGCATCAGTCAGTGCAAACACAAGATAAGTTCTTATAGCTAAGTAAATCTGTGAACTGAGAAAACCAGAACCCACTTGGGAAGACCTGAGTAAAGAGGTAATACAGATTTTCAACAGTATTACTATAAAGGCTAAATCTAGAAAATGAATACCAATATAGAAGAAATCAGGTAAGCAAGAACCTCAGGTAAGAGGTACCACCAACCAGGTTGCTAAAAGTCTTGAACTAGAGAAAAAGAACCTTAAGAGCAGACTCTGGAGTATCAAGAACAGGTCACAGTCCTATTAGGCTATCTGGATTGGAAGTCTGGTTTCAAAAGCAGAGTATACTATAAGTACTAGGAATATGCTATAAAGTCAGTATTAGAGTTTGAGTAAACTTTACAAGAGCAAGCCCTGTTAGCAAAAATTAAATATTGGTAGTTAGTTAGCAGAAGGGCCTTCTAGAGCCTTATAGTCAGATGACATATTCTGAAATATGTAATGGCCTGACAGATGTACAGACAGGGAGGTCAAGGTTAGATTAAATAGCATCTAATTAGGTATACAGGAACTTGTGTTGCTATCTGCTAGTGTAGTATAGGGGTAACCTTGTACAAATTATGTAATCATAATTGAATTCACAATAAAGGCAGTAGCTACTATAACTAAAAGGCCTTAGTAAAAGCAAAAAAAAAAAAAAAAATTCTATTTATGCCAAATTTAAAAATTATATCTATGTTATAGCAAACTGTTTTTTAACAATTAATTAGATTGATATATCTGTAATCTTTAGTTGCATTATCTTAAATAAAAGTTTAGAACATTTATGTAAATTGTAATATTATACATATATAAAAAAATATTAATAATTAGTATTACATAAAACTTTTTAATACAAACCTATAATAAAACTACTAAACACAAAAAATAAAAGAATCAAGAAGTCAAAAGCCTACTTAAAAATTTTTAAGTAAATATAGTATAAACTTTTGATAGTACTATTAAACTAATAAAGCCTATAAACCACTTTTAAAAAGCCAAATAGATAAATTAGATAACAAGATGTTAAAAAAGCATATAATTAATCAGACTGCTAAATTTATTAGAGAAAAAAGATACTATAGTATACTATACTAAACTATCTAAATTGGTAGTTTAAAAACTTCTAACAATTCTAAATAGTAGTTAGTAGAAGATAACAAAAAAAAAATATTAGAAAGTTAGATATTAAAATTTTAGTAAACTTTACAAGAATAGAAATAGTATAATGTATATAATAGTTTAACAAAAATATTTGTAACTGCAAGTATTAGTTTGACTATAATATATTGTATAAAGTTAGATCAGCTATATATAGAATACAGAAAATTATAATAAGTTTCTTATTAAAAATAAAGTAGTTTTAAGAGCTTTAAATATATTGAATATTTTAAATAAATGTAGCCTTAAAGATGTTATTATAATACAAATTAGATTATATATAGAATTCTTCATAACAAAAAGAGACAGTAGGGTGATTAATCAGATTTTGAAATTTTATACAGATTACTTGCTTATAAGTCTTGTCATTATAAGGATAGTTTTTTTTACCAAATGCATTAGTAAATTATTATACTAATTTAAATTTTTTTCTTTGTCATCATTATAATAAAAATTGATTTACATTATATATAATTATACATTGATTTATAGTAATTCTTATTATATAGAAGTTAGTATCTTTATACTAATGCTATAATAACTATTTATATAAGTGCATAAATGCTATAAGACCATGATCTAAAGTTGTAAAATGTGTTAATGATAAGATAATTTGGATAATATAATATCTAATATCATATAGCTAATAGTATGTATATATATATATAGATATATATATGTATATATATGTATAGATATACATATGTATATACCAAATACATACTTGATACTAGACATACGTGTAATTAAAAATGTAAAATCCTTATTTTTTTTTATTTTATATCTTTAATTATAAGTATGAAATATAATATACAGTCTGATGATGATAGTATAAATAAAGTTGTTGTAGCTGCTTTAGAAGATTTGGATAACACTTTTTTTGTCAAATATTCAAATTCTGAAGACAAAGAATTTAACTTTGTATTAGATAGTAAATTAATGTTTAATAATAATAGTGAATCAATGTTTGATAATGATATTTTCTTAAGTAAATTGAATAAATTCAATTTTATAGATATTACTGACAATTACATTAAAAATAAAATTTACAATAATTTAAAAATAAAAGTTAAATATTTTTTTAAAACAAAAAAGTGTTTGTATTACTTCAAACAAACCTGTTTTAAAAAAATTGGCTATGAAAGATTTCTTGTATGTTAAGCTGCATTTGAAAGTTTAAAAAAAAATATGCATATTATGATTATTAAAGAACAACTGTTAGCTTTTTAGAAAAATAAAAATATGAAAAAGTTGCTAATGATAATTGAAAAAATATTAGGTTTGAATATTGTTATAATAGTAATATTTAGATATGTTTTGATACATATTTAAACTTTGTTGGAATTAGTTATAAATATTTAAATAATATAAAAATCATTTGCAAAAACACAAGCTTGATGAATGTATATATAGTAATACTGGTAAAGCTCCAAAAAATATAGATTTTATTGAGGATAATTATAATTTAGCATATGATATTTATAAGTTTTTAAAAAACTATTCAAATATATATAATATGCCTTTACCTAGACGTTATTTTAATAAAATTACTATGCCAATTGTATTTCTTCTAATGAGTTTTAGTTATACTTCAGTATACTGGAATTATATACAAGCTTATAAAGATAAGTATGAACAAGATGTTCATATTTTAGCCAAATCAACCTTTACTAATATCTAAAATCTTTAATACCATCACTTTAATTTATGTCTGCAAAAACTGATCTATATAAAACTTGTAAATTAATGAAAATAGATATTTAATATGCTATACAATATAAAAAAAAATTAGAGCTTACTCAAAATTATCTAGCTTATTTAAATCATTACAAGAAGAACATAACTACTATAATACTAACATTATAAATGCAATTGAAGATAATAAACAGAATTTAAATATAACTGAATCTCAAATATTTTTTAAAAGCTTTAATAGTAGTGCACATATTGCATATAATTGGGCCCAAAATGTACAAGTACTCTATTCATTACAACAAATTAGATCTTTGTATTTTAAAAGTTTACAAAAAATATATTTATTCAGTATTTGTAACACTAATAATTTTCTGAATATACAACAAACTAACTATATAATCAATAAGGCTGAAATGCCAGATAATCATAAACAAGATAAAGGTATAAATTGCACTTTATATTTAGTTTGACATACAATTCAAAAATATAATCATAGTGAAAAAAAATTAGTAATTACATATAATAACTGATAAGTCAGAATAAGAATAACTACTTATTATTTTTTTATTTATAGTTGATTGATTGTAATATATATTATAAAATTGAATTAAATTTTATGATACTTGGCTATATAAAGTTTATTTGTGATAGATGTTTTGGTCTAATCAAAATTTTTTATTAAAAAAGCAAAATAAATACTGTCAATAATGTAGTTTCAATTATTAATTATTTAACTAGAATTAATTTTAACATTGCTCAATACTATTTTAATGAGAAAGGTTTCCAATATTATGATTTTAAAAAATTCTTTTAAACATTTAAAAAACTATCAAATATTCAAAAGTATTATTATTTTTATTTCAATTTATAATATCCTAGCATCATCTTCTATAAAGATGATCTTAAAAACAATTATAAAGAATTTATCATTTGTTCTTTCTCTATTAATGCATATACTTTACTTGTCATAATTGGTGTCAGACTACTTTTTTTTAAAATGACAAGAGAAATTGCATAAAAAAATTGCATTTTATGTTAATTTACCTTTTTATAATATTATTTGCCCTGAACCTTCAGTATTTTTACATTTAATTCTTTTTTTTTTATCTTATGTTGCACTAGTTCAAAACTCTTTGTATTGTATATTTAGACTATATACTAAAAACTTTTTTTTTATTTTTGTTATATTTATTTTTACTATATCTAAAATTGTTATTTCTTCTTTTTTTTATCTATTTTACTAAATTTTCTAACTTTTATTTCTTAGTCTTAAGTTAGTTAATATTATAATAAGCAAATTTAAGATCTTTTCTAGCTTTTTGTCTTTACTTTTTTTTAAATTAATTATTTTTTAATATTATTTTATCTTTTTTTTCTTTTTCTTTCCTGCTTATTATTTTTATTGGATAAGAAAGTTGTCTTAAATATCTTTTTTTAAATACTTCTTTTTTATTTTATAAAAATTCTATAATTTTTTTTATTTATATTTATATTTTAATTATAACTACTTTTAGAAGTACTAAGCAGTTTAAGTCTATTCTTTACTTATTTTTTTTAATTTTTCTAATATGACTTTAAAAATATTTTAGTATAGTTCTATTTTTTTTTATCTCTTTTGTGTTTTTTTTTTTTTTTTAACCTTAAGCAGTTATGCTAGTACTTTATTAAGATTCTTGAAACTATATACATTTATAATTATATAGAATTCTCTAATATCTAAGTCTAGCATCACTTGGCCACCCTATTAGTACCTAAGTGCAATCTGTCACACTATTCTAGTTAGAGATAGACTGCTTGTTTAACTACTTAAAGCTATATCAGAAGGGTCTTCTCCCTTCTGTAATAAGCATATTAATTGTTTTCCAAGCCTTCTTCTTCATTTGATTCATTTTTTCTATCTTCTTTTTCTTTTCTTCTTTTTTTGTCAACTCATCTCTTTATGTTCTTTTTCTTGACTTTTTTTTGATTCAAGTACCTTTCTTTATTTTGCTTATTATATTCATCTTCTTTTCTCATTTTTGCACTTTTCTACATTGAACTCTTTATACTTGGTCATAAAATGTATTCCATACTGTTCTTGTTATTATTTCTATGCATTTCTGTATTGCCCATTTATCAAAAATTTAACTGATCCTTTTTTCCACCTTCTTCATAATTAGCCCTTTATTAGTGCTCTTCTATTAATGATTTTCTTTGCTTCTGTTTTTCTAAATGCTGTTTCATATAGCACTTGAGATGGAATTCTGATTTTTTTATTTTCTTTGAGACTATTTTATGCTGTTGCTGTTGCTATTTTTTAAATTCTTTTCCACAGGTTTCTTTGTTTACTGCAACTTGCCAAATATGTCTGGATTTCCTTTTTACCTGTTTGACATACTTGGCAATCTGTTGTCATATATATTTCTGGTCTTCTTCTGTTTAGTTCTTCTAGTATTGGCAGATTATCTATTATGCATTTGATCACTATTGCTCTTCTTGTGCTGAGTTTTCTTGTCATGCAGTATATGTCTTTTGTTCTGTTCATCTCTTTCCAAAAACTTGACCAATTATATTGAGTACTTTCTGTTTCTGATTCTAATGCTCAAATCAGGTTTGTTTCTCTCCAACTGGCTCCAATTCTGGCATTTGCAATTATTTTGCAAAGAAGTCTTGTTGGTATATCAACTTTTTTGTTTTTCTATTCTAAATGATACTCTATTCTATTACACTTAATCTTCTTTATAGGTATCACCATTTTACATATTGCTTCTTTTTTTGTGAATACATCCACTCTGTCATTCTACTTATCATTGCTATAACTTTTAACTTTAACTAGTTTGATTCTGTTACTTTTGCTTTTGATTAAGTCTACAATATTCATTATCCATATTGCATTTTTCTTTTTAAGAACTTTGTCATTTTCTAACTCTCAAATTGCTCTATTAGTATTCCTTAGCACTGCCAAACTATCTGTATTATTTCTATATTCTTCCCTTCTAGAACAGTTAAGATTGTTGTCTATATTGCTGTGAATTCTGCTGTTGTCACTAAAGGCCAGCCTTTAAGTCCTAATACTGTTTCTTCTTCTGGCCAGTTTTCTTCATTACTGATCTGTACCCAGCCAATGCTTATTCTTTTTGTACTATTCTCTCTTTTTTCTTTATATAATGTTCTATCTATATAAAAAATATACTTGTCTTTGCTTCTTATCTTGTTTCTTGTTAGGGTTTCTATTAAATATGCTATGATTTCATTATTTAATTCTTGCTTTTTGATCAATTCTATCTTGTGTTCTTCTATTTGTTTCAGTTCAATTAGACTTCTTTTCTCTTTCTTCTATTTCTTCATTGCTTTGTTTATTAGTATCTGTTCTAACATTGCATTAATCTTGTTACTGCCTTTTTCTACTAGTATTTCAGAGACTGCTTTTATACTATTATTCTATTTTATCTACTTTTTGCAATTCTCTGTTGATTGTTTTGTTTTATTTTTACATCTTTTGCATTTGCTTATTATTGTATATGTCTTTCCTTCTACTTTTCACAAAAGCCAATGTTCAGCTAAAATCTTTTTTTTTTTTTTTTTTAATATTTTGCTAAGTTGTTGTTTATGTTTTGGCCCATATATGATTCACTCTTTCTTTCTTTTGTTTTCAGATATCTTTGTCTAATTAATTGTTAGCACCTGAGTATTGTAGCCATTGATCTTATATTGGTTATATATTTCTCTGCTTGTTTGTGTTATTAACATTTTTTCTTTTATTTCATTGAACTATTTGGCTTTTTTCTCTTTATATAACAATTCTTGAAAACTTTTAAGTTGTTTTTATGTAATTAAGCTTTTTCCTTTTATATTTATAAGTTGGTTCAAATACAGTAGGCCCTATTTGTTTATTGTGCTATTGCTCACTGTTCAAGATTTGGTTTTAACTAAGTCTCTTATTCTTGTTCTATGATTATAAACTTTTTACAAATGGTTTTCTGCTCTGATGTTTATTCCTATTTCTTTTGCCTTAATTATTGTTCAACAAGCCAAATTGTACTTTCAATATTTTGCTTCTTCTGGCCTTATTTTAAACTTTCAAATGATCTTTGTACTATTCTAAGCTTTGTTAGGTCACCTAAAGGGTCTTTCTTATTAAGTCTTGTGAGTAAACTGCTTATTTGCTTTGTTGCTATTTCCTGACTTAATGATTTACAGTTTCCTAAATCTTTATACTTAATTATATAGTTGTTTGTAGTTTTTATCATGTTGCATTTATGTTTGACCAACATATTATCAGTTGGTGGATTCTGTCAATCATCTTTTCTGACA